AATGAAAACCAATGGGGGGGAAAAAAGATTTTAAGTAAATTTATGATTTTGTGTTGGGCCACAGTCATAGCCATCCTGGGCCACATGCGGCCTGCGGGCTGTGGATTGGACACCCCTGCTAGGCTCCTGCAAGAGCAAAGGATGGAGTTCCTGCCCCAGGGCCAGCGTCATGGGCATACGGCCTGTGCAGCTGCGTGGGGGCCCATGCTGGGAAGGGCCCTGTGCTCCAGCCGTGGCCCCTAGTGTAATCTCTGTTTTCACTGTCCTGATATTTTTCGTAATTTTATCTTTGAACTTGTGTTTTGTAAGTGACATCTGATGAGACGATGGAGTATATGCATGAGCAGAGAGGTGCACTCAATACACATGTCCATGGCTGTGCTTCACGGCTCCATTCATATAGAGCATTTTTGATGAGCACAAAATTCCAATGGCCCCATGATATGTGAGGGGTCAGCAAAACTCAAACTGAGTCCAAGGTAAGCATGCTACAGGCTTTCCATTCCAACCAGAACTTACTCTGCATGTAAAAAGAAGGCCACAACCAAGGAACTCTATCATGTCCTCTCTTACTTGTGTTACTTCCCTGTACTAAATAACCATTTACTCTAAAAATGATGACGTTGAAGGAAAGGGCAACCCATAGTTGTTTTTCCTTTCTGTTCTTCCTTACTAGTCACTACAGTAAGTCAAAGACAAAGTGTTGGTAGAACAAGCACATAACAAGAAGTAAAGTAAAAACAATTGCATTCCTTTTGTGCTGATTCCACAGTTCTGATAAGACCAAAGCATACATGCATATACAAGTTACAAAGTACATATGCATATACTAGCTACAAAACACAAATTGTGTAATTTGTTGCTTTTGCATAGGAGTTAAATGCTCTTCCATTTACATTAAAAACTAGCATTGCATGATATAAAGATAAACAGTAAAACTGGTGTTAATAATTTTATTTATTTTTTAATTAATTAATTTCTTCAAATACATTTGTCTCTGTCTTCCCCCCACCACTTTCCCTTGCCCCCTCCCCCCTTTCCCTCCCTCAGCTCTTCCCCTTTGGTTTTGTCCATGAGGCCTTGCTCTATGTTCCTTGACTTTCCCCTTCCCTTCCTTTCCCCCCGCCCACCCCTTCCTCCTTCCCTCTTGTCTCTGTTGGTTTCTTTTCCTTTCAGTGTTGCTGGTCTTATTTTCCTTGTGATGCTAATAATTTTAAATGTTCATTTTTCTTTACTTAAAATGATATTAAATAGCAAAAAACAAAAAACAAAAAAAAGTGGCAATTCCAAAGAGAAAACATGGAAGAAAAGAGATAGCTTTATATTGTGTATCTTCGGTGGCACTTTTCTCCTGCTTTTTTGAATAAAGGGCCCCGCATTTTCATTTTGCCCTGGGCCCTGCAAATAAGATAGCCAACTGGGTCTTCTCCTCTCTCTGGCTTTTGCCAAAAGTTCTGCTCACCCATCTTTTGCAGGAAGTTTTACCTAATTCCCCACCTCTCTCCCCGCTTCTTCATGGGCTCTCATGGTCTCCAAGTCAGTAATCACCTAACCATCTATGTTTATATGTTTCTCATTACACCTTCACTCTTAAGTTAATTTTGAACATGCCACCTCCCCTAATTGTCTATCTTTCCTGAAGAACAGGAACAGACTTGACATTCTTACCTGTCTGGCCATGGACCAGAATCACAGGGACTCTCAGGGAGAAAATAAATCTCAGGAGGTAATGAACAGAAAGAGTCAGAATCTCCAGGACTGGGCATTTGGCTGCATAGCTAGCTTGAGAAGTATTTGTTGAATGAATGAAAGACTACTTATGGTTCCAGTCCCTGGAAGGGTCATTCCTTTGGTTCCAACACTGTCTGGTAAAATATGATCTATTCTTGGACTTTTTCAAATGCTACCTGGTTCTGGGAAATCCTCCTGATTTTTACCTTCACCTCATCTGACCTCAGGTTCCTTAACGCATATTAATTATTTCTGACACTGAGGAAATTCTTAATTGAATTTCACTTCTCTACTAGACTCCGGTAACATGTGGGCACAGCACAGCGGGGACTAGGGTGAGGCAAGTGAGGCTCTTGCCTTGGAAGTAAAATGCAAGAAGTGTTAAGAAACCTCAGTAACCAAGAGAAATTATGTTGTAATGCGATAGTCTTGAAATCAAAATTAATGCAACAATTATCCATGATAAACACTATATCAAAATTTTAATGAAAGACTAGGTCGGACCCTGTACTGGCACTACCGTCCTCATTTACTTCACTCTCATCCCCAATGTAAAGAGCCCGGTTGGGTCATATGTTTAATTGGTCTTCTAACCCCAGTTGTCATTGAATGAATGAATATATGAATGAATTGCTTCCTTGAACTGATTCATCAGCTTGAAATTTATAGATCTTGGCAATGAAGTTGGATGGCTATGGCGGAATGTGCCGGTGGGTCTTGAAGACAGCTCAGTTATGTCTTCTGAAATCAGTTAGATTGGGACTGTATTCAATCAGGTCCCCATTAAATTCTTCTTTATTGTCCTAGTGTCCTATTGTAAAATGTTCTAGTGTCCTAGAAGAAAAATTGCATCTTCTGTTGGTAACCATTCTTTACCATCATGCAGCCTCTAAAACTGCCCTTAGGACCGGTTCAAATGGAATCATAGCAGTTCATATTGTTTCAATAACGTTGCATGAAACTTGTTCTCCCCATTGTTATAAAACATTATTACAATCATAGTCTCATGAATTGTTTGAGTAATGCCACATTATTTATTTAATGTTTTAATTTTCTGTGCTTCAGAAGTTTCCAGGCAAAATGAGATCAGAAAGGCAAAGCCACTTGAACAAAGGGAAGCAACAGTGTCTGCTACACTACATTCTCTGTGCGGTGTTTCCTATTAAAGAAGGAATTTGGCTCCCAATTACACCAAGGAAGAGAAAAAATTAGAAGTTCCAGCAGTCTTTAAGGCCTATCATCCACCTTTTTGAATGAAGACTGACATCGCACACACTCCCCACCCGCACGCGTGCGCACACACAACCACACCACCACCACCTCCCCTACCATCTGCTTTTATTACGACGTTGTTTATCCACTGCCCTCCGCCCCTGCCATAACCAGGCTGTCAACAGTTGTGGCCTATCAAAGCCAGGCTTTTTCCTCAGTGGACAACTTTTTCACTCCCAGTTAGCCACCAGGGGGCCCCCTGTTTGGAACAAATGGTGAGACTCCACAGCTTCCCTCCAAACCAACCAAAACATCCCGGGACAGCTTTGGCGCAACGCTAGGGATCTGCACTGCAAAGAACAACTCGCCAGCTAAAAACCTGCAAGTCTTATGGTGCAGCTTTATCACGAGTGAGAAAATGAAACACGGATACAAATATCGCCACTAACCAAGGGGAAATAGGATCCCTGGAATCTCAAAGGAGCGGCCCCTCGCCCTCCCCAGGGAGCCTTGGGGTCTTCAGTCTTCTGGACGCGCGCTGAACTGCGAATCAGATGCCTGGCACAGTTTCTAATTTCCTGACAGTTGTCGTTGTTCTTGTTATCTGCGGAAGTGGTGGCTTCTCGCCCTTTTCCGTGGGATGCTAACCAGAAGCTGAAATAAAACACACGTCACTGGCTGGCAATCTAGAAAACGCTCCCATAAATGATCTATACATTGTTCGGCAGTTGAGGATCCACACAAATCGTTGAAAGTCTCGACACTGTTAAGCAAATGAAAGTGGATATTGACTAATAAAGTAACTATTTTAGTCTTATCTATAAGAAAATAATTGTACCCTGTCGTCAAAATATTTTGTTGCAACTATGGCTTCTTAACGAGTACACTTTAGCCTGAGGTGTGTTCAGCATTTTAAAAAGCGCTCTTCTGAAGACCCCAGCTCCCTGCTTCCTTTCCTCCCAATCCGAATCTTCGGCCTTCAGGATTTATGGGGGCGCGGGGCGCGGGGGAGGGACTTTAGAAATTCGTGTCTGAGTAGAACTTTTCAAGAGTATATATTACTTTTGTCTTCCGGTTTTATTTGTACATGTCCAGGGCAAAGACATATTAATAGGCAGCCCTCCTGGAACCTGTGGAGTGTCTCAACCTCTTCCACTTCCCCCCTATTCCGCACACTTCTCCCAGGACATGCATGATGGAGTGAAGGGGTGTCTCTCTCAAGGGCAAGCCAGGTATTTTCCAAACTTCCATTCCCGGGGTTGGTGATGGTAAGAGAACGCCAGACGCCGCGGCGGGTGGGAGGCCCCGGAGGAGCCGGTGCCCTGTGTCAGCCCGACACGCGCCACAAGTGGTTTGGAGATAAAGGGAGGAGCGCGGCCGGGCCGACTAAAATAAAGCCCGTACTTCTGGAAGTCACCTCCTCCCCGCACCCCTGTCACTCGTCCCCTATGCCTTCCACTTTGCCTACTAGAGGAATGGCGCCCAAACCCGAACCTCTGTGCTCACGCAGCCGGGTGGGTGGACGCGGGGCCACCAAAAATCACCGCACCCTGGGTGGAAGGCACAGCCGAGACTGGGAGGAGGGAAAGCGGCAGGTGTGGAGGCGGCCAGCCGGGGTGGTGGTGCGTGGGGAACGGGGCAGGGGTACGCGAGCCCGAAGTGGCCGACAATTTAGACAGCCAGCTGAGTGCCGACCGCGAGCCCAGCGGGAGCCAGGTGGGGGGCGTCGGGTGCCATCCGGGCGGCCCCGGTGGCGGCGGCGGGACGTGAAGCCCGGAGGCCATTTCTTCGCTGCGCCCCTGGCGGAACTGGGTTTGCCTGCTCCTGGCTGTCGCCGCCGCGCGAGTCGACCGCCGGGAGGGCTGGAGGGGAAACCAGGTCACCGGTTCGCAGACGCGTCGCGGAGCTTGCGCCCCGGGCGTGGAGGAACAGCGCCCGGGGAGCGGGCCGGGGCGGGCCGGGCGCGCTGGGGGCCGGGAGAGGCGGGGACTCCGGTGCCCGGGCCACGCTCGCTCCCTACGCCTATAAAAGTGGAGTGGCAGAGGAGGGCCGGCGCGGCCCTGCCGGCGGCCGCCTCTCTTCGCCCAAGGAGTTGACATTTTGCAGGACTCGCGCGACGTCCCGTCGTTGGCGCTCCCGGGACCCCGCCGCCGGGAGGAGGGGGCGGAGGAGGGTGGAGACTGCGGGGCTTGGCCAAGGAAGGCGCACATCCTCGGGCGGGCGGCCGTGACGCGGCGGGGATTAACTTTGCATGAATAATGTGAGTGCGCTTGGAAAGGAGACCTTCTGCTCCCCGGGCTCGGGCAAGCGCGCCCGCCGGCTGCCTTCCCCGGGCAGGGGCGCCCAACCCCACCGGCTCCAGGGCACTGGTAATTTGGCGAGAGGACCGCGCGGAGACAAGGGTGAGGGTGGGAGTGTCGGGGAGGGGGGCGGCGGGGGAGACAGTTTCAAATGTCCAGAAGGGTGGGCAGGATGGTGACGGAGGTGTCGCGGGAAAGTGAAGGGTTGCGGGAGGCAAGCTGAGCGCGCGCAGGCAGGCGGCCGGGCGTGGGTGGGTGGGTGGGGGGTGTCAGTCAGCCGCCCTATTACCAGCCTCCGCGGGGTTCTGCGCCCCAGGTTTGAGAGGAGGGGCCCTCTAGCGCTGGGGCACCGCGCGGCGGCACTCGGGGAGCCACAGCGTGGGCAGTGGCGGAGCAGGGTGGCCAGGGGCCCGCTCCAATCGCAGCGGCTCTGTTCCTCAAACCCCAACCAGGCTGTTGACAGGCTCCTTGTGAAATGGAGTTTGGCATCCTCTGCGCTGAACCGAGTGGAAGTTTCCATGATGAGGAAGTTCTGTGACACGGGGATTCGGAAAAGGTTGGCAGACACGGGGGTGCGGTTTAAAGGGACTGTGGGTCCCCATCCCCCTTTTTGCTCCTGCCCCGGAACTGCCGGGTTTGGAAAGGAGAATAATCCTGAATATTGGCGTGCGCTGTTGCCGGTGCCTGGCGACTTGGCTTCTCTCCGCCTCCTTTGGGAGTCGGTGGCGATTTCGCTAGCCTCCTGAGTCGCACTTCTTTGCCTTGCTTCTCTTGACGCAGCCTCTTCGTTTGAGTGGCCTGAAGTTGGTTCTGATACCAGGAGTTGTGCCAGCTGAGTGCTTCCCCTCCCCCGCGCCACCCCTCGGAGAAGGACTAATTTGGGGGAGTTTTTTTACTCCCAGTGGATTTTGTCCTTCTTGGTGCTGTTGTCACTTTGGAGAAGAATTTCGCCACGACCATTGTAGGATTATTATTAGTGCTAAGTCTTAAACCCTCTGATTTGTTGGGGAGGGGGAGCATGGGATGAGTTTTTATTTAACAATTTGTTAATTTTACAAATATAATTTTCCCAAATGGGAAATTTCAAAGTGAGTCAAAGAAAAGACTTCACCTGAGCAGACAAGTTCAGACTCTCCATCCTCCCCTCTCCACGTAGATTTAGAATTTGTGAAGATTCAAATACTACCTTCAGTCAGTAAACAAATTTGAAACCAAGTCTTCCTGTGAGCATGTTACTGGTCTCACGTGCTAGTGAGATTGTTTTAAAGAGCTGTTTTTGAAGTTCACAAACATCGAGCATTCCTTGGACAGTGTTAATATCAGAGCACAGCAGTTTCTACAATGATAGATGTATTGTGTAATGCAGACCTCTAGGGGTATCTTTACATTTTTTCCCCTTATTTTAGTTTAGTATGCTTATGTATGTTATAATATAGAGCATGCATTGAATTGCAAAGTAAAAGTTGTATTTTAGTCAAAATAGTCCATGATTCTTTCTGAATATTCACTGTGACTCCTTCCGAATTCACTTCTGTTTACCTCTCTTATTCTGTAACAAGTCAGTAGGAGACTAGGAAACCTTTTTATAAGGTGTTTTGATGAAAAGTATTTTAAGCAATGGATGTTTTTAAGAGTTTTCATGCCATTTGGCTAAGTGTTCTAATTGACTGTCACAGAAATTCAATAGTGAGTGATTTATTTGGGGTATTACATGAGAAGACATTGGTGAACAACCATTTATTATTTGTGATTGTTAAACTGATACTATTAGAATTTTATTTTAATGAATTTCAAAGTTTTGTTATATATTGGAAAGGGGGACGGACTATCTGGTAGCAAACACAATTTGCTTTTGTTTTCCCGTGGGTGACAGCAAATGATACTGGATATAGCCACAGGACTATTTTTTATGGAGCAATTCCTGTTGGCATTACACTTCAAAGGTATAATTTTATTGACATTGGAATATTGTTTTTATACTCAACTGACTTTACAAGAGTAATAAACATTCCATTTCTCCCCTAAAGATTCCTGGTAGTAAATTCTGCTACAGAGATGAATTAAGACAATTTCTTTTTTAATCTACATCTTTGAGAAAAGATGATTTCTTAAAAATACCATAAGGAGGTTGTGGATTCCTTTCCTTTTCTGGGGTTTTTGCCATTGTTGGAAGCTCAGGGTGTATGGAGTCACAAATGGGATTGCACATTTCTTTATTTAGTAAGCTCATCTTTTTGATGGAAATCAGAGTAAAGGTGATTGGTTTCTTTAGCTCCTTTTTGGCACTCTAGTGTAAGATTATGTGTCACCTTCTTAAAAAGCCTTTCCCTGATCACTTGAGCAAAGGTAGTCCCTCATTCCTTCTGGGATTCTTTGTTGTTGTTGTTTCTTCCACCCACCTTCCTCCTTGGTTTTATTTGAAATCTGAATTGTTCATTTCAATTGGTACTCACAGATTACCTGTCTCTTGTGTCTAGAATATAGAGTCCCTGAGAAAAAGTGTCTTGACTACTTCATTCACTCTTCATTTTCCAGCATCTTGAACTGTGCATGGCACACAATAGGTGCTGAATAAATCTTTTTTGAATAAAGGAATGGTTGTGCCCAAACTTTGTGTTTCCCCAAACACCTGACTAAGCGTCCCAAATGAGTACCAATTGGGTATGCCAAGATCTGTGCTTATATGTGTGTGTGCCATGTATGTATGGGTCAATCTTTGTTTATCTCTCTTTTAACATGAAAGCTAGCCTCATTTTGTGTAGTGACTACACAGTTATTTCTATGAGTTTTTCCTGGGGCAATTGCCTTGAGTACATGGAATTCCTCAGCAGCAGCTTGTCTTACCTGATTCACTGAAGACTTTGACCTTCAACACCAGGGTTTCAGCAGAGTTTTTATGAGTTCCAGAGGTATAGTCAGTGCTAAGAGTGAAATTCCAGGAAACATACATCATTGGGTGATAGCAATGCCCTCTCTCATTCAGCAGGTTCTAGCATTGCATCTAGCTGATCTACAAAAGAGATGACTGGGGAAGAGACAAATGAGACTGTCAGGGTCCCACACAAGATAGAAATTGCCCTTAGAGGTAGATTAGAAATAATCTAGTGGTTACCCTGCATTATAAGTTAAGTCAGTCAGCCTCTTCTTCACCCGCTTATCCACTTCCATAAACCAGATGACTATGGGGAATATCGCATTATCTGTTTTCAAGGGACTGAGCTATGATACCCAAGGGGTTATCTTCAGAGTAACTAGTCATGGAAAGTCTTTTGACAAATGAGACCAAAAGGAAGTTACAATTGATGATTATGGGAATTCGCTTTTGTTTATAAAGTATCAATTTTCAGAACCACGTCTTAGTAAATGCATAGTAGAAATCCCTCAGAATGATGAGACTGGTAAAAATGGTAACAGACAAAAGATAATTAAACTGAAATTCTAAGTGTTTATTGCTTTTGATTATTTACTTTAGCTCTAAGCTTCTCAGTAGCCACCTTAATAGGAAAAAAAGGGAACTGAAGTATGCATAAGTTACAAGGATAGATCAGTTAAGATTTGCTGAGTGCTTACTATGGTACCTGACAGCTAGTATATACTCCTATGAAATATCAAATCATATAATGGCCAGTACTTGAACTTCAATTCTCCAGAAAATGAAGAAAAGTTCTTTATGTGATTATGTCTTTCACCAACTCTTGAGGGGGAAAAAAATGCAAAAGGCATAATGATGAAAAGTAGCCCAGTGGGAGTTTATCTTCAGAGCCTAAGCTACCGTGGTTTAGCAGTGGAGAATCTGGTGATTGTCCCCAAGACAGAAACAGAGCTCAGAACACCTAGAGGAATGAATGGTTGACATGTTCTTTAGGCTGATTCTCTCAAATATCCAGTGTCACAGATGAGCTTTTCACTAAAGCAATGTGAGAGGATGGGACAACCAGGAACTTGAAAATGGCTCTATGACCATAAACCTCTGAGCAGGTGGTCTTGATGCTTTGTGCTTTAGTCTATCTAGCTTTTTCCTTCCAGTACAGCAGTTTGATTTTAGTGTCCATTTCTGTCTCTCCCCATAAATTGTGATGAGGGGCTCTGGGTTTATTCGTCCTGGACTGCCAGCCCCTAGCCAAGAGTTTCACACATGAGCACAGAGAAATGCTTGTTGAAAGAACGAATCAAGGGTGAGAAGGGGTGGTGCTCCTCCTTCTCTTCTGATGTTGGCAATAAGTGTCGCCTTCTGGCTAGATTTTGCCCCAAGTGAATGTTTGCTGCCTGGATTGTGTCATATCACAGCTGAGTATTTTGTTTGAAGGGCTTAGTCTAGTGTCAGAACTGGTTGACTAATGGGTGGCAAGTTAACTCCTTGCTTTATTTAAAGTCATTTTGATTACTTGATTTGATTCCTCATTCAGTCTGTATACATGTACGTACCTACTATGTGCCTGGCCTTGCTAGTCATTTCATAGCTCAGCATGCAGCCCAGTGACCTTTGAAACAATGGTCGTATATTCCAAAATGGTCTATACCTTTTGGGGTCTCTTATATGGCCCCCTAGGTGAAATTAGTTATTTTCATCTGAGGAAGTGATTATAGTGTCTGTAGCCCATGTGTGTTAGTATAAATTGCAGTGGGATTTGCCAAGAATTCTCCTGGTATCCTGGTATCTCCTGGTATCCATGTGGTATGGGATTGAATATGTTTAGGCCAGTGAGTCTCTGATTAAGGATGCTCATCTCTACTTTAGTCCCTAACTTATTAGTCCAATGACATTTAAATAAGTGGGGGGAGGTGGAAATATCCACATCACTGAGTCACAAGGAATGCATTTCCATATCCTCTTCTTGGGGGGTCTGGCCAACTGGCAGCTAGAATAATGACCTATGTTCAATGCTAATGTTGCTCTGTCCATACTGTCCTAATTTCAAGGGACCTTGGAGACTTTATGGACTGGCAGTTCTTGGCCAGTACTATTTTTATTAAGTGAGAAACTGAGCTCTATTGTGAACTTAGGTATCTTTTCCAAATGACAAGTCAGGAGAGCCTGGAATTAGGACCCAGGAAGGAACATTGACTCTCTGTTCCAGGAAGCATAGAATAGCCTTTAAATT